TGGTATGAGGACAGCTGTAGCCGCAAGGAGGAAAAAAATGAATGTGGATCTCTGCCTTAACACTTTACACAAAAATCAATACCAGATGAATTATGAATTTAAATGTGATAGACATCATTTTAAAACTTCTAAAAAGAAACCCAGGAGAATGTCTTTATAATCCCAAGATCGGGTAAAGTTTCCAATTAGATTACATTAAAATTAAGAACTTCTGTTCACCAAAACACACCATAAGGAGTAAAAAGACAAGCCATGAATTTGAGAAGATATTTACAATGCATATAATCAACAAAGGATCAGTGTTACAAGTTTATTAGTTTTAAAAGACAACCCAAGAGAAAAATGGGTAAAAGATATGACCAGGTATTTCACAAAAGGGAAACAGTTCATAAACATATGAAAAGATGCTCAAACTCATTAACAAAGAAATGCAAATTAAAACCACAAGACACATCATTTCATACCCATTTGATTGGCAAATATTAAGAAATCTGATGATAATAAGTGTTGGAGTAAATATGGATCAACTGTAACTCTTATACACTGCTTATCAAAGTATATAAAAATTGACAAAACTGCTGGCCAAAGTACAAGGTGGTACAACCACTTCAGAAAACAGTTTGGTAAAGTTGAACATTCATACCCCATAATCCAGCAATTTGACCTCTAGCAAATAGTTTACCACAGTAGTATTCCAACCATTTTTTTACTCACAAACCACTAAAAATGTTTTAAATAATTTTCACACTAAGATGACATCTACAAGTGTTCAGCCCAAGTTTATATAATTGTAAATGATGAATTTCTTGACTTAAAGATAATCTTAGATATTATCTAAAGATAATGTAGTTTTGTGACATATCATTGGTTTAAACTGTTATAATTATTATAGCATAGGATTTATCAAAAATAACTGCATACACTGAAAATCAATCATAAAATGTTAAATTGTAATTGCAAATGCAGCTCCTGAGATGGAAGTACCTGGATTAGAAAACGCTCTAACACCAAATATATATATATACTGGATTTTAAATTATCTGTCTTCCATGGAGTTTTTCTGCTTAGGACAATGCCTTAATAATATTCCATGTGGGTAGGTAGTATGCCTTCCTTACCTAAGGTAAAAGTGCTACTAGGAAAGGTAAAGTGGAAAGTAGGACCAACAAGAGGCCTCTATCACAGGCCCCAGGCATTACCAATTTTAAGAAAGAGTACACACAGAATTTAATGATCTAGAAATTGATTCATTAATATCACTCCTGCCCAAGTACTCCCTAGAAATATCTTCATTACTCCTCTGGGGGGTCATAAACCCCCGTATGAAAATTAGAGAAATTCTTGGCAACCATGTACCAGAAGATACGTACAAGAATCTTCATAATAGCAAAACCTAGAAACAGCCAAATGTCCATCAAAGAATGCATACACTGTAATATTCCCTGTGGAATATTACACAGCAGTGAAAATTAATGACTTACATCTATTCTCAATATCAGTGACTCTTAGAAACAACATTGAGTGACATAAGCAAGTCTCAGAAAACTGTATCCACAATCCCTTTCTTTAAAAAACCCAAAGACAAAGAAACCATACAATACATTGTTGAGCAATATACATATATCTGACAAAATTATTTTTTAAAAGCAAGGAATGACACAGACAATTCAGGATAGTCACTCTGGAGATGAGCACATACAATATTGGTCATTTTGATTCTTGGATTGAGTGGTGTACTGATTGGTATTCACTGTACTGTTCTGCTTCACAACCTGCATATATGTTACATTATTTTATTTTTTTATTTTGTTACATATATTTTGATTTTATCAAATATTACATTGAAAAGGAAAAAAGATTTTTCAAAACCATTCATTATCTTTTAAAAAGTAATTAAATCACCTCAACTGCCACTAAAGAGGTACATAAAACATACCGTGGAAATTACTATCTTTACATTAACTATAGGTGCAAAATAAATTTTTACTGGAATTAATCTTACAAGAAGCATATGAGATAAAGACTGAGCTAGTTAGCTGTGAGAGATGAACCCATCTGACACAGGGCTAAAACAGAAGCCAAGGCGGCTGTAAGCAAATTTAGCTGTAAGCTAAAGTTATAAGAAAGCTGGTCAGTAAAGAGAAGGCAAAAAAGTAAAAGCCTAGTAACAAAGTATTAGCAAGGATGTGAGGAAGTGAGTGTCCTCACTCAATACCAGTGAGAGTGAAAATTAGTACAACCACTTTGTGAGCTTCTGTGATATTCAGTTATATTGAAGATGCACATATCCTACTATGCAGCAACTCTCCTGCTACGTGTATTTCTTAGAGAAACTTCCAAAAGTGTGCACAAGCAGACAAAGATATTTATTGCAGGATTGTTTTTAGAGTAAAAAACCAGAAACAACTGTGAAGTCCATCGATTGGGAAATGAATTATGGTATATTCATACAATTGGATTCTGTACCAGCAATTAAGATGAATGAACCAAAGAGAACACAATTGCCCAATTTATTTGTATATAAAACTCAAAATGTGATACTCATTTTAAAAATGCAAGTTGCAAAAAGACACATATCATTTAAAACCATTGAGATTTAAAACACATACCACCACATATTGTTCATGGATTGGGAACTGTGAACCAACTATAAAATATTAAAGGGAATGATATACACAAATCTGAACACAGTGGCTGCTACCTTAGGGAAGGAGGGGCAGGAACTCGGAGCGCCTCCAACATCTGCAATTTTATTTCTTAAAATAAAAAAGGATTTGAAGTAAATTTGGCAAAATAATTACATTTGTAAATCTGAATCATGGGTTGGTTAGATCCCCCTGTGTATTTTATATGTGAAATATTTCAGAAATTAAACAGAAAAAAAGGAAATTAGGCAAAGGTTAAGAAAATTAACAAATGAACAGAAAGACACACCAAAACACAGCCTTAGAGCGCAGAGCATGAACCTTTGAGCAAGCAGCAGCGTAGGAGGTGGCTCTTTAATCGGTTTGAAGTTTCCTTCCCTGTGTATCCTTGTAATAAATCCCATTTCCCTTAGGATAAAACGCAAATTTCTTGCAATAAAAAATGTCCTAACTAGAGCTGTAACTATGAGAAACCTGCTGCTAAGGGAGGAGTAAATATCTGTACAATATCTACCTTGAGTCTCCTCGCCAGGATGTTGGGCAGAATCAAGAGATAATTTATGAGAAGGCGATACAACACTATACGAACCGTTAAGCATTTTCAAGAACGCCCAGGCACAGCCAGAACGTATTTGCCCAGCTGGCGTGTGCGTCTATTTCGGAAGGAGTCTGCAACTGAAGGGCTTTGGGCATCTACGGCTCTTCTGGAAAAGGCACTCTGCACTGGTACCAGCCAAAATTCACCTACGCGTTGGCTCAATTTTTGGCCCTTGGCTCCCCCCTCATTCCTCCCAGAATAGGCCGGCTCGACAGGTCACACCTGACGTCGTCAACACTACGGAGCAGCTGGCCAGACCCGCCTCCGTCTCCCCTTCCCACCCGCGTCGGGGGAGGGAGGATGCTCCCGCGAGGAGGGAGGGGGGAAGCGCTGGGTTGATTTTCCCAGCCCCGGCCCCCTCCTGGGAGGGAAGCCGCCCCCGGACTCGACTGCCATTCTCACGAAAACAGGTGGCGCAGACGTTAAAACGCACAAAACAGAGAACGGGGCGCGCACGAACGTTCACGAACACTCGCGAATGAAAACGCGCACAAGGGAAATCGTACACTCGACAGGACACAGGCGCGGCACGCGCGCGGGGACACGCGAGGGCGCACACCGGGGAGGGCGATGTACCAGGATGGGGTCACGACTGCAGAAGGCGCGGACACGCGAGCGGGGGACGCGCGCCCCCCGGAGAGGGACGGTGACACAAAGGGGGGCCATCACACGGGCCAGAGGCGCCCACGCCGTCGCCAAGAACGCGAGCGACACAAAGAAGCCGGGAGTGGACACAAAGGCGCGTGCCCGCACTCCCAGACCCAGGGACCCCTCGCCTGTCAGGGGTGTCACCCTCCAGACGAGAGCGCGCGGGCAGCAGGGGGATGCGCCCACAAAGGGGCTACTCCTACCCTCACAGAGACGCCCCCAGGGGCCCAAGGAGTCTGAAGGGGCCCGTAAGACAAAAGGGACACACCCACTGGGACCGACAAAGGCGGCCACACCCCCAGCGCCCCGACCCACGCAGACACACCGGGGGCACCACAGCGAGCGACGCGGGGCGACGCGCACACACCCACACTCACCACACACCCACGGAGGGGGTGTGGAGGGCCCCTCTCCCCGGGCATCTCGGCTGCAGCGCGATAAGGTGACACATCCGGGAGCCCTGCCGCGCGCCAGATGTGCACTCACCGGGGCCCGCAGCCCCCGAGCCTCGGACGCGGGCCTCCGCCGCCGCCGCCGCCTCGGGCCCTCCACGTCAGCCAGCGGGCGGGCGGGAGCGGGCGGCGGCGCAGGCGGCAAAGCCCGTCACGTGGGATGCGCACATGCGCAGTCGTGCAGCCCCGCTCCCTTCCGCGGCGGCGAGCAGAGCGATCCGGCGGTTCCCGGTGCTCGTTCGCTCTAGGCAGGCAGGCAAGGGTCGCAGTGCGCCTGCGCCTGGGCTGGGAGGGGGGCGCCGGAGAGACCTGGCCTTTCCTTTAGCTTTCCCCTCTCTCGCCCCCGCGAAGGTTTTCCAGAAGGCGCCTGCGCGAGGGACTCGGCGGTGAAGCGGCGGAGCTGTCGGGAGGGGCCTGAGAAGCGAGGGCCTCCCCTACCCCACAACCCTTGAATAAGAAACTGAAACTACCCCGAGAGGACGGGGCCTGGTCCCGGGCACGGTGGCCCGGACCTGGGGAGGAGGCGCGCGTGCCCCGAGCCCGGCCATGCCAAGCCCTTTCCGCAGGCAGGCGAAGCCTGCAGGCTAGGAACGGCTTTCGTCCTTTCTCTACCCTCCCCTCCCCTCCCCTGCAGGGTGCGCGCGCTCTGGGTGTGCGCTTGTGTGCGCGCGCACGCGAGGTCTGGGGGGGCTCGTGCACGCGTGCTAGCGGTGTGTGTTGGAGGTGTGTGCGCAGGGAGGCGGTGTGCAGTGGCTTAGGCAAGGAAACTGCAGAAGCTGTCCCCGTAGCAAAGCGATGAGGCTACAACAGACCAGTGATGAAGGGGAGTGAGTCACTGACGATGATTGTGTTTCTTTCCCGCAGATTGTCTAAAGCCACAGGGAAAATGGTGGAAAATTCACCGTCGCCATTGCCAGAAAGAGCGATTTATGGCTTTGTTCTTTTCTTAAGCTCCCAATTTGGCTTCAGTAAGTACTTTCCTGATGGATGGCCAGGACCTCTTTTCTGGTGTTCAAGGACAAGGAAATTACAGCATTTGTTCTTAGAATGTGCACATAATGAACTGTGATTATTTCTACTTATGTCTTTTTCTAAGAAAACCTAAAGAGAACTTGTGTTTGGTATTTTAAATGCCCGACACTAGTGTAAGTAATCTCAAGAAATTATTTATACAGCACCAGACAGGATTGCAAAGTGAATGAAACCTGGTCCCTGTGGTTCAACATCTCTGTGGTCATAGTCTTCTGGACAAGACAGACAATGGAATCTACAATTAACAGTGTGAAAAGAGCCATGGGAACCCAGTAGAGCAACATGAAATCAGACTAGGAAACAGGGTTTAGCTTTCTCCTCAGCAGCGAGAAGGAAGATGTGGGAAGGTTTTGAATGAAGGGTTCAGAGTGAGTAAATTGGTGCAGGTGCAGCCTGTGGAAGGCAGGAAGCCAAGAGAATTAGGCTAGAGAAGCCATGTGCACTTTAGAGCCCTAGATCTGGCTTAGTTCCCAGAAGATCCTGTTTTCCAGATAAGGAAACTGATGCTTGCTGAGACACTGGTGTGCCCAGGGTCACACCGGAGGCTCCACATCTCTCCTCCAAAGGATATGGGAATTATAAAGGAAAACAAGAGGGAGAAAATTGGGTGCCCCCATCCAGCTTTTTGGAATTTTGTGGAAACCAGGGAGGTGAGGGAGTGGTAGTGTTTCTGAACTCTGACCGTATTGGTACAGCCAACTATGCTGTTGGCAAGGGTAGTGTAGGGAGTAAAGAAGTTGTGACTTGAGTTCAAATCCTGACTCCTCCAGGGACTAGCTGTGTCACCTGGCACCGTTTGCCCAAGCTCTTGAACCTTCAGACTCTTCATCTGTAAAAGGGTGGTGACAATGTTTATTGAATGTTTATGATGTGCAAGACAACCTTGTGAGGTAGGTATTGTTATTTCTGTCCTTTATTTTATCAATGATGATCCTGAGGCATGAGGTTTTAGGAATGTGCCAAAGGTCATACAGCCAGTAACTGATAAGAGCTGGAATTTGAACCCAGACACTGGGTCGACTTCACTGTGCTGCCTTTTAGGGCAGCTGTGTGGATTAATTAATTGATTAATTAATTAATGTAAAGCACTTAAAACAATACAAAAGATTGATAAGTATTTCTATATAGTCTTGACTTTTACATAGTGCCTGGCATAAAGTAGATGTTCAATAAATTCTCATTCATTGATTTAATTAATGTCAATTACTTCCATTTATGAATTTATATGGTGTTTCCCTGCTCTTTGTATTTCATCCATCTTAAAAGCTATCTACAAGTTACAAGCCTGTCCCATGCCATCTTTTCTCTCTACCATCCAGTCACACCAAATCCCTCACCAGATCCCTCACACTCTCCCTGTGGATCATGGCAGCGAACACCATTTTCTCGTATTTCCTTCCTTCCTCATCTGCAGCCCCCAGACATACATATTTTTGATCTGGCTAATCCCCTACTGATTATTTAGGGTGCAGTTTAGTCACTTCCTCCAGGAAATCTTTTCTGACCATTAACATCACCTCCATCAGTGCCAGTGTGGGCTAAGAGCCTTCTTACGTGCTCCTGTATCACCTTTTATTACACATTCACGCTTATCACAGTGTAATGAAAATGTCCATTTACTCGTCTCTATTCCCCTCCCCTAGATTTTAAGCTTGGGAAGGCCAGAGACCATGCCTTTTGGGTTCACTGCTGTTTCTTATGCTTCTGATGTAGAATATGAATCCTACAACATCATCAACAGAGATAGTTTGAAATTTGTCTCTGCCCTTTATGTCGGGCAGAGGATGTAACATTTCTAAGACTTTATTTCATTTCATTTACTCCTCTATAAAAATAGCATACATATCATAGGATTGTTTTAAGGATTAAATTAAATAATGCATGTGAAATGCTTTGAAGTGTGGGGAGCCCACAGTGAGTGCTTGGATGTTAGCTGTTATTTTTACAAGTTAACAATAAAGCATTCCACAAAGACTGAGCTTGAGGGAAATAAGATAGTATTCTGGGAGATGAGGCAGAAGCCCATCATGAGGTAGATCAGAACAAGGGTAGATAGATTCACCTTTAAGCAACCGGTATCTATAGTCATTTCAGCCCTGTGGTAATGAAGTATTGAACAGCCATTATACAGAGGGAAAATTGCTAGGTGCTGTAAGGATCACAACAATTGCTAAGACATGATTTCTGCCCTTAAATTGCTTCAAATGCAGTGTGAGAGTTAAGACATGTTTTTAAAAAAGGGAGTAATGGGGAAGTGGAGTTGTTTAATGGGCATAGAGTTTTAGATTTGCAGGATGCTAAAGTTCTAGAGATCTGTTTCATAGCAATGCAAATATACTACTTTTTTAAAGATTTTATTTATTTATTTGACAGAGAGAGAGCAAGAGAGGGAACACAGCAGGGGGAGTGGGAGAGGGAGAAGCAGACTCCCCGCCGAGCAGGGAACCCGATGTGGGGCTTGATCCCAGGACCCTGGGATCATTACCTGAGCCAAAGGCAGATGCTTAACGACTGAGCCACCCAGGCGCCCCTCAAATATACTACTCTAAGTTAAGTGTCATAAATACTATAAGAATGATAGAAATAAGGAGCTAGGAAACTGAAAGAAAAGAGAACTCATTTCTGAGGTAATCGGGGAATCTCAAAAGAGCTTTTTGGTTTTTGCTGTTGTTTAAAGATTTATTTATTTTAGAGAGGGAGCAAGAAAGTACACATGAGGAGGAGGGCCAGAGGGAGAGAGAGAATCTTAAGTAGACTCTGGTGGTGAGCACAGAACCTAATGGGGGCTCCGTCCCACAGCCCTGAGATCATGACCTAAGCCTCGATCGAGAATTGGACCCTTAACTGACTGAGGCAACAGGCGCCCCACGAGCTTATTGTTTTATCTAAACCTTGTTAAATTAGATGCATGCCTTATTGACTTCGCTTTTTCTCTTGTTTCTGTTCCTCTCTGCAGTACTGTATCTTGTGTGGGCATTTATTCCTGAATCTTGGCTCCATTCCTTAGGATTAACCTACTGGCCTCAAAAGTAAGTTTAATGTTTTTCTTAAATAAAAATGTGTGAATACTATTTTGAAGGATCACGGTTTTTCTTTAAGACTGCCCAAATTGTAAATACTTATCCTTTTAAGATCCATAAATAGCCATATAGAAATTTAAAGCTTTTCAGAGGTCATTACTGCTACATCTCTAATTCAGGATAGCAGAGGGAACATACATTCCATTTCCTCCCAACATCTGGGTAAGGTAACACTATACAAGAAAAATGTTTAAGGTATAAACCCACAGGAACACATAATGGGAGAGCAGATAATCATCAAAAGAATTCAAGGTGGGGCACCTGGGTGGCTCAGTCATTTGAGCGGCTGCCTTCGGCTCAGGTCATGATGATCTCAGGGTCCTGGGATCGAGCCCCGCATCAGGCTCTCTGCTCGGGGGGAGCCTGCTTCCCCCTCTCTCTCTGCCTGCCTCTCTGTCTACTTGTGATTTCTCTCTCTGCCAAATAAATAAAATCTTTTTTTTTTTTTAAAGTGTTCAAGGAAATGATTGCAGACAGGGGAGAGATAACTTAGTTTCTACTTTTTCCGGGGTGCTGTGGTAGGGAATGATGCAGGATTGCAGCTTTTTACAACGCAGAGTACTAACCACAATACGATCGCGGCCAAGATTGCAGCTTTTCATTACAAGCCTTGTAGAATGATTTCACTGTCTTGTAAATATATGTATTATTTTTAATTTAAAAAAATCAGATTTAAAAAGCATGTTAACTCGGTGATGGTCTCTTGAGAACGATGACTCTTCGGGCAGTTTATTATTTTCTTTAATATTTTCTTCTACAGATACTGGGCAGTTGCATTGCCTGTCTACCTCCTCATTACTATAGTAATTGGTTACGTACTCTTATTTGGAATAAACATGATGAGTACCTCTCCACTCAACTCCATTCATACAATCACAGGTAAATGTCTATCAAAGGGAAGTGCTGGCAGTGTGGGGGAGGGGGGGCTGGAGAGCAAGGTATTAGCAGTTTTATCGAGAAAAGCAACCAAGAATAGGCTATAGTAGGTGACACATAGCAGCACAAGAAAAAGAATGTAGGAGAAATAAATACAAAGTTATACCAGAGGAAATGTTTATGTGGCAGAAACCAATTCTGATGAATATGCTACTTATAGCACCAGTCAGCAGGTGTATTTTTCCATAAAGATCACAAGTATATAATATGTTCCTTAGCAACTGTGCCCAAGAAAAACATATTTTATCCTAAACGGGCAGTGTTGATCAAAGAATGGCAGGTAGGTCCACGCAGACCTTGTCTGATAGAGGGATTTGAGAATACGCATGCTCCTCAGGATCCTTGTACACACCTGACCCCAGTTATGTAGATGGAAGAGCCACAGTATGTCTTTGTAGCTTTTTTTTAATTCCTCTAAGTCTAAAGAATAAAGTAAATTAAATTCCTGACCATGCTTAGATTCTAGGAAATGAAGGGGTTTTGGGAGGAAATGAAGTGTTTTTTAAGTTGCTTGGTCTGATTTTTTTTTTTTAATTTTCAAAACCTTTTTTTATGAGCCTATACAATGTACTTTGAAAACCAGTTCTAGTATTTTTATATTGCTTTCCGATAAAATACTATATTCCCTGTCGTCTTGCCTAAAATTCCAGCAAATAGACGACTTGTGCAAAGAGGGGACCTTGTTAAGTTTGCATGGATGATTGTACCAAATGATTTAACCGTTTGGCGGTGTTGGGTTAAATATATTTTCTAAGCCTGGGTGTAATTCTGTCCCTATGAGAAATGTGCAGGTGGAACTTTAACCATTATTGTACAGTTGAATGAAATGTTCATTTTTTATCCTAGTTAAAGATGCAGAAAGTACTTTGCTGATTTTTATTCTATTTGGAACATTTCTTCAAAAGAGAGAATTTAAGTAATCTTTTAATTATATTAAACATGATATTTGTCATTATGCAGATATTAGCCTAGCAAAGTATTCAGTGCATTTCTGTAAACTACAAAAATGGTAGAAGAAACTGCTTGGGTAAGCAGAGCTTTTTGTCCTCTTCCAACAGATAACTATGCTAAAAATCAGCAGGAGAAGAAATACCAAGAAGAGGCCATCCCAGCATTAAGAGATATTCCTATTAGTGAAGTAAACCAAATGTTCTTCCTTGCAACCAAAGAACCGTATGCCAAAAAGTAAATTGCATGTAGACTAACACCAAGCATTTACTCTTAAGTTTTTGATGTAATAATTTTGACCATAATTATTTTGACTTTCTCTCATACCCAGTATTGAAGTGTTAAAAAAAATTTGTTGTTTCTTAGATTAAGTTCTATTAATATTATAAATATAAATATTATAAATGTTCTTGAATGAACATTTCTTGAATGTTCTTGAATGAACAGAATAAATAAAATACTGCATTACTCTATAGCAGACTTCTTAAGAATTAAGTATTAGTAAAAGCAAGAAGTACCTCCAGAGAAGCATTCATGTTGTGATTTTTAAATGGCAATTATGTCCTTCCCGCTGTTTTTTCAAGGCCCAGAATTCAAACTCTTAGATTTGGGAGAGGAGTATGTTTAGCTTGTGTGTTCTTGCATCATATTTGTGTCTAAGACAGAAACATTTGTTGAATATTATTTCCGAGGTATTTTTCTGGATGTAGCAAGGATAAGATTCCTTCTGAAAGAGCTTGCATTTCAGGGGCAGATTGAGACAGACTAAGCAAATAAATCAGTATTATTTAATGAGTGCTATGCAGAGAATCAAGATAGTATAATGTTCTAGAAAGTAAAGGGATGACTACTTAGGCTTGGGTGGTCAGGGAAGGCTGTTGAGAGAGAGGCAGTTGAGGTTGAAATTTAATTAGCAAAAGCAAGAGCCTATGAGAAGGATTGGAGATGGGAGAGATTGCAGGTATGAAGCAGCCAGGGGCAGAGGCCTCCAGGTGGGAAGGAGCTCAGTGTGTCCTGAGGACGGAAGGCCAGCAGGGGCCTCGGGTACACTGCCCAAGGTGGAGAGGCCCAGCCCCACCGCACTACCACACAGGGCTTTGTAGGTGAACATAGGAAGTCTAGACTCAAGTGTCAGTGAGGTGAGTTGGAGGCCCTTTCGCTTCTGAGCTATAGGGAGGCTTTAAGGAAAGGCATGACCTGGCCCCATGGATGTCTTGAGAAAGTTGCTCAGGCTGGTGGATAGAGGATGGATTCAGGAGGGAGAGTTGGGGTGGGGCAGGAGTTTGGAAGTAAGGGGCCCGCTCCAGCACAGTGGCGACAGTGGGGCTGGGGACAAGCGGGTCACTCGGCAGCCTGTGTCGGAGACACAGGTGACGGACAGGGTGTGTGGATCTGATTGTGTGGAGTGGGTCACTGCTGGGAGAAGTTGTGATCGAGGGTCTTCCTGGGGTCTCTGGCTCAGTGAGCTGAGTAGATGGTTATGCCTTTTAATGAACCAGACAGTATTTGGGGAAAGTGTAGTTGAAGGGATTGGAGGATACAGTCTATGAATTAGTTTGAGTGACTCCTTGTTAATACGTGGTTGTGTCTGTGTGATATTGAGAAGCTGAGATAGAATTAAGTTTTAAAAATAAACCAAATGTAACTTAGCAGGGCTGTACTCACAGTTGGCCAGTGGGACCAAATCTCAGCTCCTCGAGCATCCGAGGCCTTCTAACTTTTGACACCCTAAATCTCTGCACAGGAGCAGAGCCACACATTTTCGTGCAGATTTGACTATACCTCCTGTAAAGAGAAAAAAAAAACTATTAATTTTAAATAGTTGAGAAAACTAGGACTTCCATTTCAATAACCACATCCCTGCATTGTAAGCATTAAGACAGGTGATGCGAGTCTATTTCTAGTCTGTCATTTGTCCCAGCTCCTGTATTTCTGTGGTAGGAGCATGTCCCCACACTTCAGAGCGGTTTGAGAGGACCAGTTGGCTCCATCCAGGAGAAGGGTAAATAAACAATAAAATATCTGTTTTTACAGTTGAAAACCCCACAGCCATGCAACAAGAACTAATTACTGCTCTACCTACAACATGAATGAATATCACACACACATGTTGGGGGAAAAGACAGACATAGAAGAATATATAGTGTATTATTCCATTTATATGAAACTCAAAATCAGGAAAAACAAACCTTTGGTGATAAATATACAATAGCAATATTAACCAGGAGAGGCATGAGGGAACCCACTGGGAGCTTAAAGGTCTGGGTTGCAGTTACGTGGCTGTAACAGAAGCATAGCCTTAATATCACTTAACTTGTGCTTCTTAAAAGTGAATCATAGCTGACATACCGTATTATATGAATTTCAGGTGTACAAGGGAGCAGTTCGATACTTTTATGCATTACAAAATGCTCACCCCAATAGGGTTAGTTACCGTCTGTCACCATATACATTCGCTACAGTGTCATTGACTATATCCCCTATGCTGTACACTACATCCCTGTGGCTTATTTTATAAGAATTTTGTGCCTCTTAATTCCCTTTAGCTGTCCCACCCATCCTCCCACCCAAGATCTGTGCCCTTGATGTAACTTACACATCAGTAAAAAGGTAAAGAACAGTGCCTATGCCCCATCCCCAGAAATTTTCTTTTAATATTTTATTTATTTATTTGTCAGAGAGTGAGTGGGCAAGCACAAGCAGGGGGAGCAGCAGGGAGAGAGAGAAGCAAACTCCCCACTGAGCAGGGACCCTGATGCGGGACTCGATTCCAGGACGCTGGGATCATGACCTGAGCTGAAAGCAGACACTCAACCTACTGAGCCACCCAGGTGTCCCACTATCCCCAGAAATTTTAATTCATTGGTCTGGAGTGGGGCCCAAGGAGGGATAGCTTTTACTGACTCCCGGACACTTAACAGGCAGCCAGGATTGAGAACTGCCTGCCTTAATCTGTTGGATTTAACAACCTGTGGTCAGCCGGGAGACTGGCTGTTTCTTTGGAAGAATGGATAGTTGCCAGAGCGGTCCTTTCACCTTTGTGGCACTCCTTCCCGGATCAGCATCATCCCTTTGTATTTCCTTCTGGCCAGTGATAGGCCTAAAAAGGTTTTGAAATGGGTCAGAAAAGGCCCTTAATTAACTCCAGTACCCCACTTCACCTCTGGCCTCCTAGTAATTTCTCATTCTGTTTCCCCAAGCACATCGTTCTTATAGCTCGTTAGAGATTGTCTGTGTTTCTCAGATCGTGGGCTGCAGTTGTTTCCAGGGTTCTGGTCAGTTTAGTGGAGCAATTCTCACCATTTTTTAAAATTCTCAGGACCCCCTTAACACTCATAGTGTTCCCAAAGAGCATTCATATATGTGGATTATATTTCGAAATTAGAAGAGGAATTTTAAAAACATTTGTTTATAAATACTAAACTCATTACATTTTGATATATTTAAATAGCATTTTATGACAAATAACTATATTTTCTAAAACAAATTTAGCAAGACCCGTAGAATTGTTTTGCATTTTTGCAAAACTCTTCAAAAGTCTAGATTACTGGAAGACAGCTGGGTTCTCCTGTCTGCTTCTGTGTTCAACCCATGCCAGTACCACACGCCACAATGCCTCTGGAAAACCACTGCACACTTGTGAGAATGAGAGCGGAAGAGAGAAATAGCATCTTAGTAGTTTTGTAAAATTGGTTTTGACCTCACAGACCCCCTGAAACAGGGTCTCCAGGCCACACTTTGAGAACCACTGCTTAGTGGGCCTCAGCTAGAGAGAGAGTGTGTGTGTGTGTGTGTGTGTGTGTGTGTGTGTCTGTGGGCGCACTTGTGAGAGGGAATTAGCATAGGATACAGCACTGCACTTGATAAGGATAAACCCATGATTGAACACCTCTTGTGGCCATGGCAGATCCTTCCCGTTCCACCCCTGACTCCAGCCACTGATGCCGTCGTGATCAGGTCCACACAGGGGCCACTCAGCAGTGCACCCTGGAGAGAGAGGACGTCAACACCCAAAGGACACCGTGGAGCTCACTGTGGGGCAGGCATCCATCCCCCAACAGAGCGGTTGTGAGCTGAATTTATTCAGCATCGGAGGAGGTCTCGGGAGACTGAGCTGCAGTCGCCATGGCAACGGTGCCCTCGGTAACGCAGGCCTGCGTAGGCTCTTCTCAGTTTTGCTCCCTTGCTGCCCACGCCTTCCTAATGTCACTTTCCAAATAAACTGCCTACACACAAGTCTTTGTCGCAGGCTTTGCTTTCATGGGAACCCCAGCTGAGAGGTTTTTATTTTGTAAAAACTGTGCTTCAGTTAAAGGGCCAGAATCTGTAATGCATTTCCCTGCTGCGTGTTCCAATTCAAGAAAAATGTTTGAAGGACACTGCGTTTTACAGTAAGCCCAAATAATAGCATAAAATACCCCCAAAATGTCAGTAGTATAAAGTTAACCATTTTCACAAAACCCCCTCCAGTAATTAGATTCTCAACAAGAATTTCATGACGAAAGTCCAAATATGAAATCACCTAAATCAAATCCCAAATTCTTCCCTCCCTAATTTTTTTTTATTTTTAATAAACATTTATAAATTTGGGGGCACCTGGGTGGCTCAGTGGGATAAGGCTCTGCCTTCAGCTTAGGTCATGATCCCGGGGTCCTGGGATCAAGCCCCACATCGGGCTCTCTGCTCAGCGGGAAGCCTGTTTCCCCCTCTTTTCTCTCTGCCTGCCTCTCTGCCTACTTGTGATGTCTGTCTGTCAAATAAATAAAATCTTTAAAAAAAATTTATAAATTGTATTTATTTATTTGAGAGAGAGAGAGTGAAAGAGCACAAGCAGGGCGAGCAGCCGGCGGAGGGAGAGGGAGAAGCCGGCTCCCTGCTGACCAAGGAGCCTGATACGGGGCTCCATCCTGGGACCCTGGGATCATGATCTGAGCCGAAGACAGACGGTTAACCATCTGAGCAACCCAGGTGCCCAACCCTCCCTAATTTCCTACCTTCACTGTTTGAGCAGGATCTCAATCAGGAGCCTGGGTTTTCTCCAGAAGCTGATGTCTAGAGTCTTGTGAGAAGAGGTATACTCCTTAGGCAAACCGATCCAACCCCAAGTTTCTTCTGTGTCCCACTTTTTCAAGGAGTCAGTGGTACAACCAATATATTACCAGCCGCAGGCCCACAGAACTTAGAAAACCCAAATAAATCCAGTGCCACCGCAGTTGTCCCAGACCCGGTGCATTGGACAATACAGATTCCCCCCACCTAGCCCGGCACTGTGGTAGAGACTGGATAGGCTATGGGGAAGGGGAGGCAGGACAGAAGGGGTTCTTGATTTGTCTTCCCAAGGCTGTGGTTGTTGTCAAGTTCTCCTCACTCAGTGTAAAACTCAGTTGGGTTAACTGTGGTACTATATACTACTTCGGAATGGGCAGAAATGGACTTAGCCTAAGGAGCGCCTGGGTGGCTCAGTCGGTTAAGCGTCTGACTCTTGATTTCGGTTCAGGTCATGATCTCATGGGTCATGAGATAGAGTCCTGCGATGGACTCCACTGGGTGCTCGCTCACTCTCTCTCTCTCAAAAGAAACTTACTTCTCCCACCTTTTCAAATTGGTCTAGACACAACCAAAGTTCATTCCTCAAAAAACAGCACTTTGAGATAGCCGCTAAATCAAAACGGAACCACACAGACAGAGGCAGCAAATGTCTCAGTGGTCACCTGCGGACTTAGGACCAAGGACCAAATGTTGTCTCCCCCTCCATCCCTCAGCACCACATAACACCCAACGTGCCAGAAAAACAATGGAAATTTCAGGAACCCAAGGAGCCACAGAGTTCAAAATGATGGTGTTCTAGAAAATAAGTCATTCTTGAACGGATGCATTTTTGGACCAGAATTATGTATTTCACACTGTCTAGGAGAAAAACTCTCTTTCTCCAATAATTCAATATCTGTCTCAGGCTATTTCTGCAAATCCAGTGTTCTAGCTCTGCTTGGGTAGGTCACGGTCACAGAGGGCCATATGACCAGGGCTGGACGACGCCAGCCAGAGCCTCCCTGTGACTCAAATGTCACACTCCAGTCGTGCCATAGTTGGCCAGGCCAGCCCGCTATTTACATGGCTCCTGCGTATTAGAAGCCGCTGTGAGTCAGCCTGCCCCAGCTGCTGTGGCTACTTCAAGAGGCCCCCTCCTGCCCTCTGACACTGGTTTCCAGGACCCCTTCTTTGGACTGTTCTCAGTGAACCATGGGTGGGCATGCTCTGGGGTGAGCACAGCCACTCCTCGCCGCTATTCTGTGAAGGACGAGCACCAGACAGGAATTAAAATACAGTGTCCACTTTATTACTGGTAGGGCCACATGTTTGTGCTGCATAAAAATGAAGCTGAAACCACGCTTTCTTCCTTATATCTGATAATGCAGAGGGCTGGGCCTGCAGATCGAGACTTGGCGTGGCCATCATCACGCACTAGAGAGCGTGGTGGGCTGCCACCTACCTGGGCGGTCCTGGCAGATAGCAGATGACCCATGGGTTATCATTTCTCACCCGCCGGATAAGTCACACCCTACCCGTGGATGTGAAGGAGTGTGGGATAGAGTGCAGGAGTGTAGTCCCTAGTCCTTCCCTGAGAAGGCAGAACTGTTCTAGTCACTGAGGCAGAAATACGAGGAGAAAGACCATGGTTTCCCAACACTGGCCACTTAGGTCGTCTCCTGTTTTTTCCTGTGATAAACAAACAACAGAAATCTTTGTGGATAAGATTGTGAAGTTGTGTCCTTGGGCTAGGTTCCTGACACTGGGATTGTACAGGATCAAAGGGCTTGAACATGGTTAAGACCCTTAATATATAATGTCAGACTGATCTTCAAAGAGGTCGTATCTATTAACACACTCCCAACAGTTCCCTAACATTGTACTGGTGTGATGGTTAATTTTGTGTGTCAGCTTGACCAGGCTAAGGGATGCCCAGACAACTGGTAAAACATTATTTCTGAATGTGTCTGTGAGGGTGTTTCCAGAAGAGATTGGCATTTGAATCAGACTAGGTAGAGAAGATCTGCCCTCTCCAGTGTGGGTGGGCATCCAATCCTTTGACAGCCTGGAATAGAACAAAAATGTGGAGGAAAGGTGAATGCCCTCTTCTTGCTCTGGGGCATGGTCTTCTGTCCTTGGACATCAAAGCTCCTGGTTCTCAGGCCTTCAGATTTGGACTCAATTACACAACCGGCTTTCCTGGTTCTCCAGCTTACGATGGATGGCAGATGGTGGCATATCCCAGGCCCCATAATCAGAAAAGCCAACTCCCATGATAAATCTCCTCTTCCGTATGTGTGTTCTGTTTCTCTGGAGAGCCGTGACTAACAGAGTTGGGTATGAAGTGGTCCTCACTTCTGTAGTGTATGAAACGTCACCATGTTCCACTTTCCAAATCTTACTAAACATGTTGTGATTTCCCGTTGACAGGAATTTCAGAATCCTTCACTGGTGGAGAGGAGGGCTTCCTCACCCTCCCTTGGGCCATGTATGCTTCTGCTAGCCAAGAACAGGAGAGGCAGCCCTGGCGTTTAACCCATCATGCTTGTTGTCTCTGCCATTGTGCCTTTTCCAGACCCGTTGCCCCACCTCCTCCCTTGCCCTGCTCAGAGACTCCCTCTAGCTCGTGAGACTTATGCTCAGTGCTCCACAGACCACCTGCCGACCCCCCACTCAAGGCCCCCCTCTCTGGGTGCTGCACATGAACTCCCAGACCTCTGCCCTCTGTCTCTCTGTTGCTCTCTCGGGACACGCAGACATCAGTGCTGGGGTGGGCACCGACCCTGAGGCAGGGGCTTCTGGCTTCTCTAGTGATCCATCTCCCAGCCTCCTCTGAAGTGGTTCCCCACTTTCAGTGAGGTATGCGGTGACCTGGAATAAAGCTCTTGCTCCCTCGCAGCAAGACAATGCGACCTCAGTTTCTTCTGGGCAATACATTGGTCAGAAGGGGGAGGAGGGACACTTCTGTAAAGTGTCTTTTAAGGAAGGATCATGCCCTGCTTCAGCCCTCCTTATTTCTGCTGCCTGGGGTGTGGGTTTAATGACCAGAAGTCCAGGTGTCCCTTAGACCATGCAGTGACCTTGGGAATAGAAGTCACATAACAGCAGAGCAAAAGGATTGAAAGATGGGGCTTCTTGATGGCTCAGTTGGTTAAGTGAGCCTGATGGGGCCCCTTGGTGGCTCAGTCGGTTAAGTGTCTGCCTTCAGCTCAGGTCATGGGCTTGGGGTCCTGGGATTGAGCCCCATTCCAGCTCTCTGCTTGGCGGGGAGCCTGCTTCTCCGTTTCACTCTCCCTCTATGCTCTCTTCTCTATCAAAAGAAAGAAAGAGGGGGGGGGGGAAGGAAGGAAGGAAGAAAGAAAGAAAAGGAAAGGAGAAGAAAAGAAAGAAAAAAAAAAAAAGAGCCCAAATCCTGACATTGTACCAGCCCTGGATGGCTTACCTCCAGACTTGGACAGAGAACTGTCTTTCTATCTTGTCACTGTAAGTTTGGGCTTGTCCAATCACAGCCAGACCTAAAACAAACATTATGGTTCCCGTCAGTGTTCAGGCACAAAGCCATCGTCTTTGCCCTGCTGATTTCCAGAATAGCCTTGGGTGTCTATTTTCAACATTGAAGTGGCCAAGAGCTACCTGGGAAGCTGTTAAAATACAGGTTCCCAGATCGAGTAAATCTGGAAGGCGCTGGAATCTGCTTTTAACAGACCTCCTTGAAGAGTCTGCCGGAAATAGGCCACGGACCACATGTTGACAGCAGGCCTTGGAAACCACAAGCCCAGGCAGTCTCCTTGATCTGCATAGAAAGTTCCTCTCCCTGTTCTTCCTCCAGACACACAGGCACGTAGCACTTTGAAAGAAACCTGGACCCTCTGCTGGTCTGTCCTTGCTCATGTGGGAAGGGAAGACACTGTATGTTTTTGTTGTTTTTCTATGGCAGCGAAAAATGAGCAAGCTGCCACGATATGGATCCCTAAACCCCCTTGTCCCACTTTTGCTAATATAGTAAGTAAAGGAACGGCATGCAGTTTTAAGCTGCACGTTTGAATACCAATATGGTGCAATATTTTATGCAAACTGAATAAACATACATTAAAATGCCCAACTTCCAAGAAGCACAGCAAAAAGATGAGGGCTTTGGCATCAGTGAGTCCTGAGTCCGAATCCCAGCTCTGCCCCTTCCTGCCAGCGTGACCTTGGGCAGTTTACTTGAC